AATTGTAACGTTTACTCATTGGTGCTGAAAAGTTGGGTTTTTCAATGCTTCATCGAGCCGTAATTTGAATGGATCAATGGTTGGTGCAAAAACAACTTAAGGTGGAAGAGAGTTCCAGGTATTGCAAACTCTGAGGCTGAAAGAGTGACACCTGCAGTCTAGACGACTCTTTTGGAGCAAACGTTTAAACGGATGTCCTTTGAGGTGACCATTCCGAGAGAGTGTTAATAGAGTACTATGCGGGTGGTTAGATTAGTGTGGTATTCGATATACGAGGATCATATCTCCTCGTATTCTATTGTATTCAGATGACTAGAGTCCGAGAATATGCAGCCTTTTACCGTATGTTTTAAATTGCAACCCTCTGGTTGCTGTTCTCTGTGGGCGTTCGAGTGCCTTTTTCTCGCGAATTTGCCATGGATTCCTAGCCTGTATAGCGTACTCGGTGTGTGGTCTAATCTGTGCTGATGGCAAACTGGACAATAGGTCTACTTCGAATGATCCAAAACCACTTTTCAACAATCTAACATGCTTTATCGCCTTTGATGACGCTCTTGCGCAATGTGTGAAACATCCTAGATCCTCACGAATAAAAACTCTCATATCTTTTTCGTTTGGAGAACGCAGCAATGACTGAGTTCCCAGTAAGTGTGTCGTAACGATACAATCTTGCATTTCTCAACGGTGAATTCGATGTACTTTGTGATAGACCATCGGTAAGCTGCATCGAGAGTTTCCTACAGGGTTTCATAATCTTCAGCATTTTGTACCGTTTTCCTTGTTTTGGTGTCGTCAGCGGAAAATAATCCCTTTTCTCCGAGGACAACTATTTGGTAGCTCGTTTATGAATGCTAGGGAAAAGTAAGCACCAAGTACAGATCCGAACACATCTCCGGGGGTGATAATTTGGTGACGTTACCACCGCCTTTTCCTAAGTAGCCAATAATAACTTCTCATACCTGTTCGAGATGCCTATAATGCATTTGATAACTGGGCTATTTAAGCAGTCCGTGCAAAATCAAAAACAATGTGGTTTTACAGCCTGCTTGCTCGGTAGTTTCGCACACGAGGGGTGAAAATATTTCCGACAGTAGGTACATGCTATTCCTCCCTCGACATCTTTGCCACAGCCTGTCGAACCACAAACTCCCAAAACCTGTGTGACCAATTATGTGGTATTTCTTGGTATACTCCGTCGACCCATTTCGATCCAGTGAGCGGCGAAATGAGAAACGATTGATAAAGGTCAAGTGGAGTGAATTTGATACGACTGGGTCAATCAGGCGAGGTGCGCAGAACAAGAAACTCAATAGAAGTATGCCTGAAAACCAACACGCACCTTTATTGACTACAGAGAATGGAGCCATGGATTCGACAAAAAGAGCAACTAAATCGCCTAGTCCTGGAAAAGATTCATTGATACTCTAAGAGAACTCATAAGGGTCGCTACAAAAACCAAGCCTATCGGTACGTCGCCTACACGATTATCACCTATCCGCAGTCAAACCGATAAATGGGTGTCACAGAGGAATTTCTCCTGGCGAGAGTTCAAAAGATGTCCAACCGCGGACACTTGGGATAACTATATCATGTTGAGAAACCTTTGTGTAAAATTAATGCAAGAGGAAAAACCCTGGCACAAATTTATTTTCAGTCCATAGCTCCTATATAAGCATATCAATGCCACCGGCACTAAGGCATGCAGGACGCGTTTCCATTACTACTTCCGAAGAGCCGAATTCCTAAAAGTCCAGTTCTATGAGGTGTTCGCTGCCGGTGACAAATTCGGATTACAGCTTCCATACCTTCTGCCAAGTGTTCTATACCCCCAATTGACCATCGTCACCTTCAAATCTGAAACGGTAAAAGCCAAACTATTGACGCTGCATAAGAATTCATCTCGAGGGGAAGACAACATCCGCCCACAGACCCTGACATCCTTGGTAAATCTCATACATGAAATAATTGCCCATTTATACCAAAGCATGTTCGACAAGACGAAGGTCCCTCAGTCCTGGAAGCACGGTATCGTTTCACCCATTTACAAAGGTGGCTGTAGAAGTGATCCCGCGAACTACACTTCTTCCCGTTTTATCAAAAGTAATAGAATCGATTTTTGCTGATTCTCTGATGGAGCATTTCGAGAAGTATAACATTCTTCCGCCGACACAACACGGGTTTCGAAGATAACGCTCGTGAACCGTAAACGTGCGATTTGCACGAGATATGGGGAATAGAAGTTTTTCGATTGTCGTATTCTTTGTGGTTTGGTATACGCGGAGTGGAGCGAACGGTTTACTGATCCGGAGGTCATATGTCGTGTGTTTGCGATTTGATCAGGCGTAAGCTTACTTGCTCATCAAATTCAGATTAATATTGTCGCCTCTTAGGGCACGTGTTATCCATGAGCAGCTGTCGTCCGCCGCTTTTCGCTTTTTTCATGGTTGCCGCTCCGGACTGAAAGAAACCCGTGGAGACTTGTTTTCTTCTCGAGTGCATTTTTTTCAATGAATTTGCATATTTATAATCTGGTCTGAATCGTCAACTGTAACCTATTTTTATATGGCAGATGCCATGTACTCAATTCGGCGATCAGTTTCACATTGCAATCGAATGAACCAATATTCAGTTGGCCGTTTGGTAGTTTCTTAATAGATAATATACATTTGAGTTTGATAGATGAAAGTGATGTGTTTATTCTCTCGATTTCTCACGAGACTTGAAGGCATATACTACTGAATATCATGCCGTGTCACAGTTTCATGGGTTTGCCCTCTTTTCTCATTGCTAACCGTGTTGTTCAGATTGAGACTATCATGGAAGAATTCGATTCACTCTGACTTGATTGCAGTTTCCTTTTATATCGACCCAATATATGTATATTTTCGGCATTTTTCATAACCAGGGGAATGTTCCTCATAATCAAGTTATATTTTCATCTACTTGGATGATTCAAACGGTTTTCTAACTGATTTTCTATTAACAGAACACAAGCGAACAACCTGGACGTCCAGATCCATCGAAATGGGTGAAGATTGACGGAACTGCTTACGTTCGGGATTCCTGGTTCAATGTTCCCCAAAGAGTACTCGATTTGGTCGGCCGTTCTTTGCACAATCAACCGCACCACCCGTTATTTCTTATCAAGCGGCGTATTTTCGATTTTATGCAGAAGGTATCTGTTTGGGGGTGGGGTGCGGCTTGTTTTTTTCTTTGGCGGTGGTGCAACACGTGCTTGCAGTTCGTTGTGCTGGTCCCGTTTTCACGAAAGCCTTGTACATGAACTAAATCTGTGTTCCATGAGAGTAATGGAGAATTTGATTCTATTTCAAAGAGAGAATTCGTCGTGTATAGAGCAAATGAAGCGTGAACTGGAAAGCTAGGAAGCACTGGGCAGCTGTTTCGACCTGGTTGGGTCTCATCAGCAGTACGCAAATCCATCAAACCATCTAGGGTTCGAACCTTGGACCCCATAGGTAGAACACAAGCATACTAACTACTCGTCCGCCGGGCGACTGATCAAACCGTTTTTTTTCCTTTCCATTCACACGATATAGCACAACCCATCTTTGCGAGTTTGTTGCGGG